GACGAAATAAGGTGTAATGAATACTCCGACGCCGCTACCACACTAATGAGGATTTATACTACTATATGTGTAACAAAGTTTATATGATAAGATCGAGACATAATTCTCTCTCATCAGCACTACAGACAAAGCCAAGGAGACTAAAGAGAAATTGCAAAATTACAGTACTGATAACGCGAGTGCTAACTGGGTAATACACGTGAGAAATCCAGCTAAAATAACTAATCATTATAAGAACGCTAGAAAAACGAGCTTCTGTTTAAAAACTAAGATAACCAAAATCCATGTTTTTAAAAGCCTCTACAAGTTATAAACAGCTGTTCACTGCGCCCCACTGCACAGTTCATTGGTCATGCGGAGAGAAGGTGCGTCCGATCTATACACGAACATTCCGATCTAAACCAGCTTGCATAATTTTATGTGTACTATCGATTTTGCCACCCGTTCTATTAAGCAGTACTTTAGACAATGAATATTAGACAAAGCTTGCACTCCTAGCCTTCATTCTATATAATCCGGACTTGTTTCCAAAATTTATGAAGCTGTTATTTAAAGTAACTGTATATTACATTTATTTTAAATTGCTTAAACGCTGTGTGTATTACATTTATTTTAAATTGTTTAAACGTGTTTTTGTCTAATTCTCCAAATAAATAGTACAATTGTCGCAGCATCCGCAAGCTACTTAAGTTAACTACACATCCTGTCGGATGATACAAGTTAATTACGGGCGTATTTAAACTGCTGCTTGTTTTAAAAGCTCTTTGCAATTAAACCAAATTATTCACATTATTCGCTGCATTCATACTGCTAGATATAATAACGGAGAGGTATACGAGTATAAAAAATTATGTAATAAATAGAACAAAACATTTTCATAGTTATTTTGAATATTTATGTCATCTTATTTAATACTGGATATATCTGCGTAATAAATTTATAGAATATTAAGCAATTATAAATTAAAACACATAACATATTCACAGGTCGCTAGACCGCAGGTTATGTTAGAGGGATTTATTTGACTTTCTGTTATAATTTATCTTGCATGCGAAGCTTTGCACCGTGATCGGATTTTTTTTTACAGAATTAAAGTGTAAATCGAGCTAATAGTTTATCTGGTGCTAAAAGGCTATTATAGTGCATAGCGTATCAAATCTATTACGGTGAACACCTGCAACCAAGTTTAATAGTCTAGATTGGATCATTAAGGGGAAATATAACCTCAAATGGCTTAGCAAGATCCTCCGTTATGCCGAAAGTATTGCAGCATTAATTTTGAAATAAATATATGGTAAAGTTGAGATTAATGTTAAGGTTTATGTTAGACGAAAACACGATTCCGTAAAATTTTCTCGATAGAAAAAAAATCCAAAGTTACCTTCAAACTGAACATTAAACCGTGTACATTTTTATAAGATCATGAAACTTTGCATACTAAATGAACTAACTATAAATCAGTGCTTATGTTATTTACTTTTTTTAAAATACCATTATTTTCACTGTAAAAAGAAATTACCTAAACTATCGGCGCGTAAGCTTGATTCCTGTCGCCCCGTTAGTATTGCTCCGGCTTTTGAAGGGAGAAGTTGTGTCGTTACGATAGAAAACACATTACGCAACAGGAAGACGTAAAATTAAAATGGGAAATAACCGTTATAAAAATAAGAAGCGACTGGGTTGGCGTTAAGAAACAGGCATAAATATGATAAACCTAATGAAATAAGTATCTAACGACCTATCTACTTAGAGTATTAGTGATTACAAACATGTCGGTACATAGCATACGACGCGCGGGGAAGTGGGGGCGAAATTAGAATTTGAGCTGACTTACTCTCACCTCTTAAAGTCTTAAGATGGAATGCCTCACGACCTGTAATTATGTAAATATACTGGCAACAGTAAAGGTGTAAGAATATCAACTGCTACCTCAAATAACGTTTTGGGGGTGTCATAAGAAGCCACTGAGAGAAGCAAAGCAAGAGATAAAGAGCAGCGTATTTCTTATAATAACTAAATATTAAAAACAGAGAGACCCTTCTATGAGGCAATCTATGGAGGACTTATGATAGGTTATTACGATTACTGGCTACAGTGAAGACACTGCATAAACACTGCGCTGCAGATACATTTGCACATACAATAGAAAAGAGAGCGTTAGTGCGCGTGGTAGTTTGGTACGTAGTTAGAGCGTGGGTAGGTATATACCCAGATGGACTCTAAGGCTATAAAAGGTTAGTAGGTAAAAGTCATTCAAATAAAAATATAAAAGACTCCCGGAGTGTCTTGTTGACTTCAAAGGTGCCTCCCAACGGATCGGTCATCGATCGATCGATCGGTCAAAAAACAAAGATCATCTATAACGACCACGTGAAACCTATGCCGTTAGTTGTTGACAAATATGTTCGGAAAATTACGACACATCTTCTCGCCAGTTATACTTCAAGGTGGTCCTTCACTGCTGGCCGTATGAGGAAGCTCAAGGTCGCTCAGAGAGCTATGAAGAGGTCTATGCTCGGAGTTTCTCTGTGTGACAAACTTAGAAATGAGGATATCCAGAGTGAACCAGAGTGACCGACATAACCCAACGGATTAGTAAGCTGAAGTGGCCATATAGCTCGAAAAACCGACAACCGATGCGGAAAAACATGCGGGAAGTCGATGGATGCAGGTGGCTCAGGACCATGCTTTGTGGCATTCCTTGAGGAAAGCCTGGGTTCAGCAATAGATTTGTAAAGAAACAGAAACAGAAACTTTTTTATTCAATGTAGATTATAACAATACTTATTGAAAGTCACTTTTTTCATTTACCACTGGTTAGCCCAGTGGGACTATATTTTTTTCAATAATAGCTTGCAATCATGTTTAAAATTAACAACACAAGACAAATTAGAAATAGTTTGGTAGCGATCACCCTTCCCAGGGGTATCATCCATAAATTCCTTAATATTATAATAACCCTTTTTATACAAACTTAGTTTAATAAAATTTTTGAACTTAGTGTATGACAAATTTTGTATATTTCCTGGGATTTTGTTGTAAAAGCGTATACATCACCCCAAGAATGAATTACTGACTCGGTGGAGTCGAGTAACTGGCGCTACTAGTTTGTGTCTGCTCATAGTATTTACAGAATGAATATGACTTATTTTCGCAAAACTACTTTTCTGTACATTACATTTAAGGGTGTTTACGTACATTACATTTAAGGGCTATAATGATGATGATGATGATGGAAAGTTTCTTGTCGGTACTTCTTGAGCCGGTCTAGTTTTTGCGAACCGGTGTAAATGCTGACCAGGGGGCTTTATAGAAGTCTAAATTGCACAAGTCGAGTGGGCCTGACGGAATCCCCCCAATTGTGCTGAGGACGTGTGCTCCAGAGTTGGCACCGGTTTTAACGCGTCTTTTCCGGTACTCCTACCCCCCAAGCGTAGTCCCAAAATCATGGAAGACGGCTTTCGTCCACCTGATCCCTAAAAAAGGCGACCGCTCAGACCCGTCCAACTACCGGCCTATCGCCATCACCTCCTTGTTCTCCAAAACAATGGAGTCCATTGTAAACTGCCAGCTCATGAGGTACCTTGAGGATCACCAGCTGATTAGTGACCACCAATACGGTTTTCGCCGTGGTCGGTCAGCTGGTGATCTTCTGGTCTACCTAACTCACAGATGGGCGGAGGCAGTAGGGTCCAAAGGGGAGGCATTGGCCGTTAGTTTGGACATTGCGGAGGCCTTCGATCGGGTTTGGCACAAAGCGCTTCTTTCGAAGCTCCCTTCCTATGGGCTTCCCAAGAAATTGTGCGATTGGATCACTAGCTTTCTTGCAGATCGGAGCATCAAGGTCGTTGTAGACGGTACAAGCTCCGATTTCAAGCCTATTAATGCTGGTGCTCCACAGGGCTGCGTGCTATCGCCAACGCTGTTTCTTCTGCATATCAATGATATGTTGCAAACCCGTAACATTCATTGCTATGCAGATGACAGCACTGGTGATGCTCATTTACACCGGCCGAGCCAATATTTCTCGGGAAAACGTCTCCGAGTGCCGGGACAAACTTGTGTCTGAAGTCGAGTCTTTGCTGATCAGAGTCTCGGATTGGGGGCGACTAAATCTAGTCCAGTTTAACCCCCAGAAGACACAAGTTTGCGCGTTAACCTCTAAAAAGAACCCCTTTGTTGTATCCCCTCAGTGTCAAGGCCTTTGCCTCGTTGCCTCCACCAGAATCGGAATCTTCGGCGTCGACATATCGAGTGACGTGCAGTTTCGTGGTCACTTGAAAGAGAAGGCCAAATTGGCCTCTAAAAAGCTTGGCGTGCTCAGCAGAGCGGGATAGTATTTCATGCCGGCACACCGCCTGCAACATTACAAGCCGCAGGTTCGGCCGCACATGGAATACTGTTCCCATCACTGGACTGGGGCTCACCAGTACCAGCTCCTTCCACTTGACCGCATCCAGCGCAGAGCGGCTAGTATCGTTGACGACCGAGTGCTTTCCGATCGGCTCGATTCACTGGCACTGCGAAGAGATGTTGCATCCCTTTGCATTTTCTTTCGCATATACCATGGAGAGTGCTCTGAGGAATTGTTCGTATTAATCCCAGCCGTCAAATTTTGTGAACGCACTATGTGGCAATCGTCCCAATACCATCCACACCATCTGGATGGTTGGCGGTCCATCACTCTACGTTTCAAAAGGAGTTTTCTTCCGCGTACAACCTTTCTGTGGAATAGTTTACCACCGGCGATTTTTCCGGACCGATACGACCTAAGAGCTTACTCCTTTCTAAAGGGCCGGCAACGAACCTGTAATTCCCCTGGCGTTGCGGTTGATCATGGGCGGCGGTAGTCACTTAACATCAGGTGAGCCGCATGCTCGTTTGCCCCCTCTTTTATAAAAAAAAATAATGACGGTCTCTTTGAAACGTCATTATCGTTTCTTAACTTTTTAAATATCCCGTAAACTGAAGAACAAAAAGCCTTATGTTAGGTCACCAACCTCGGGCAATTTGGGCATCTTGTCGGTGTCGTGCGTGTGCATGTCGTAGTGGTGCGCGGAGCCGCGGCGCACGCTGAACCAGCGCGCCAGCCGGCCGCCGCCCTCGTCGTCCGGCGGCGGCGCAGGTGGAGCCGGTGCCTCGCGCCCGTTGCGCCAGCGCTCGCACAGCTCCCGCGCGCGGCTCAATGTGTTCCGCAACTGGCCGGTGCTTCTGTACACATATTTGTTTAGCTTTTACAATTATTTTTAAAAAATATTTTATACGGAGTAGAACCACGCAGAGCTGCATTAGAGTGCGTTTCCATTGAAGCGCAGAAGACGAGTGGAGCAGACAAGAACATGGATTTCGAAAAATGTGTGTTCGAACACATCTATTCTCCTTATGACTTCCTCGTTGGTCTAGTGGTTATAGTAGTGCGACTGCTGATCATGAGGTCCTGGGTTCGAATCCCCGGCCGGGCCAAAAATTAATTACTGAGTTTTTCCGTCAAGAAATTCTCAGTAGTTGCCCGGAGTCAGGAAGTTGGCGGTGTATCACCCACGTGCCTTGGAAAGCACGTAAAGCCGTTGGTCCTGTGCCTGATCTCTCTTCGGTCGTGTCGGTTTACCGTTCCATCGGATTATGAGAGTGAGGGAATAAAGAGTGCACCTGTGCTTGCGCATACACTTGGGCACTATATTCCTGTCCTGCGCCGTTGGCTAGACTCCGTTGAGGCAGACCGCCGTGGCCGAAATTCGGTCTGGAGGACAATATTCTCCTTTCCATTCGCCTTCGCTTCAATGGAACTGTTCACGAATAGATCGTCTCGATCGCGGAAGGACACTCTCACACCACGCCACGCTCTCACAGAATACATGTGTGAGACTATATTGTGTGAGATATACAACTGTGTTTCATACGGTGAGTGTAGTGAACTTCAGATCCTCTTTGACTCTCGTTGTAACAAGGCAACCCATCTTAGTCCTCAGGAGTGACAACGCATCTACACTTTGTTTCTCAAGTGGGTACAGATGTAGTTGGGCCACAGCACAGAATTCGCTAGCCTTGAGTCATAGTGTTAACTTCAACTTTTCTCACTTTTATATCCCATAAAAAGCTATATTTTAACAAGTTTTTTAAATTCGACTTTTTGGATTTTTTTAAAGAGCTGATTACACGTATTACAAATTTCTGAAAACTCCCATGTTCACCACAAAAAGACTAGCAACCGCTCATCAAAATCTATTTTTTATTCAGGGTTAATGAGCCATAATAGGTTATTAGTCTAAATAGGTGACTGGCGGGCGAGTCATGATACATCTAATTTTTATGCATAAAAACTACATGCTCATCATTATTAGCACTTAAAACTGCAATTAACTAAAACAGTTAAGGAGATTTCGAGGATCGAAGCCAGGTAGCTCGGGTACTGTGAAATTTACGGCTCCTGTGCTATAACCGTTTTGTCGCGGTGTATCTAATGACTAAAGAAACGAGTTATGAGACTATGGTTAACTATAGAATGTGTCACTTTTGCAATTTTTTTCCTCGGTGTGAATTTTTTATTAAGAGCGATACAATTAAGTGCAAGAGGCTTTGTGTTTGCAGTACTGACATCTTGCACTTTGGACGTTGCTCACATGTCATTTACAAGATGATTATATCGTCATGTATCGTATGCATGAGAATTTTATGAAATTTCCCACAGTCCATTCTTACGACACTTGGACAAGAATGAATTGGTTTATGCCGCCACTACACAAAAAATAGATAGATGATGAAGGTAAATATGTACTTCGCGGATGCTAACACCGCGTTTTTATTATTCATGTTTCTGTTCAAATATTGATCTATTTTTAAATAATTGCTCAGACTAAGTATGTGATACAGAAAAACATGGTTATCGTTACATATGCCAATAATAAACAAGCAAAAACAACACAAAAGAATCAATAACTCTTGCGAAGTAGAAGAGAATACGATTTAAAAAAAAAACGACGGGTTGCACTCCGGGAGTGCCGGCAGAAGTGAAACTTGAATATTAACGTTGTGTATTTTTAATATTTTGGAATGATTAGGTAATAATTGCTTTAATTATCACACACGAACATTCGCGCAAGCGCCCTGCGCCGCCTAAACGAAACAGCAGGCGCAGGAATACATTTTCGCCGCGCCGTAGAAAGAGAGGGGGATACTTCCTCTCCTACGCCGCGCCGGCTGTCTCTCTCTCTATCCGTCTTACGCATTTTCAATCAGAGTCACGTGTCCTGACGCGAGTTTAACATTTTTTACCCATTACAAAAAAGTGTACAACGCCGTTAAAGAAGTTTTCACTTCAAAAATTGTCGTTTGTAATGCATCCCGCAAATTCTTAAAAAAAGTCTTTCCATCACCTTACAACAATGCAGGTATTTAAAGAATGAAAAGGCCTTTTTTTAAAACAAAAGTCAGTGCGTATACGGAGATGGTAATCCATCTCCGTATATATTATCACTGATCATCAGATGGAATAGTAGTCTAGCGCTGACGTACAAGGGATAAAAAATAAAAATGTTGTAAATCTCCCGATGAATTTATCGATATAATTGAAGATTTTCTTACACAACACTAAATCTTTTATATCGTCAGGATACAGTTCTAGATGTATTCAATTGCAAGTATGCAATGACCAATTGAATTATTATTTGTTTGCTTATTAGAGAAGAAATGCACATAATAAATTACCTAATTAAAATGGCTACTCTTGTCGATTAAAACAATAATAACGATACACATAATAGTCACAGTAAGCAACGTATATGCAAACAATTATCGATTGAATTGATTTATATACACAAGGGCGAGTTTCCATCTGCTGAGATGTTTTAGTATGACCACGTAAAGTCGTCTCAACAACGCTACAGACATTATTTCCCACAGTTAACCATAGTTATTCATAATGTAATTATATGTCATCGAACATTAATCATGTCTTCATGGATGAAACAGGTAATGACGAGCTTGCATTGTACGCTGGTTCATCTTTTGTAGTGTTTATTTAATCACGATGTAAATAACTTTGCAAGACAATGAAGAATATTTTTATATTATTTGGTCAATGATCTTATTAAGAAATGTAACAAACTAAAACTTCTACAAAACCTAGTGGACATGTTATCTGGGCACGTAGCATGGTCTAATTCTAAGAGTTGTGCGGCGGTGGCGTAAGTATAACTATGTATAACAAAGTATCACTATGTAACAGCAGTCAATTATCAGTTAAATTATTTTATCTTAAATGATAATGAATAGTAAAATTAACGAAAAGGCCGAATAAAACAATTAAGCTAATTTGATTACCACTAAAGCATTAAATTAATTCATTACTAGGTCTGCTTTAATTTATAGGAGAACGCCTAAAATGAGTCTTATATTCCGTACTGACACTTAATATGATAAAATCTACCTATTAAAAGTTATACGGTTACTTCTCCATGAAAATAAAGCAGTAGTAAAAATCATGCAAGGTTGTTAAAAGATATTTAATATTCAAGGATGGCTTTAAGAGGTCATTATTTGGTAGTTAATGCGCGATAGTTCTACGCGATAGTTAATTGTAAATAGTGGATGACTATAAGTATACTTTTTGGTGAATTTAAAACGATAATTATTTGATAATGATATTTAAAAGTAAAACAGTTTTATCTCCTCGGTGTAACTTGTGTTTCTAAAAATACTGTCAAGATACCATTAAAAGTGTGTTATCGTCCAAGTCCTTGTACCCGTATCATTATTTGGACGGTGCATAGGGGTTGAAATAATTTGTCCTTTATTATTAAACTGCGTAGCTTTACATTAAACTGTCTAGAAACACATCATGTTATATAATGTATTATAATGTAATTCCATGCCCTAGAAGTTTCGCATGCTTTGCTATGGAAGGTACATCATTTATAATACAAATTACTAAAATAACCTATGATATTTGACATCGAAATGAAGGTTATTTTGCTCTTAAAAAGCTATATAGTATAATACGACGCATTGTACATTAAAGTGACTATAATTCTGACGTCAACGAAGTTAGCGAATAGCAGTTCGTCACTCCATCTTGTGAGGGCTTATTTCTCACTTTTAATCAACGTGAGTAGAATTTTAATGTTTTCGGATCGCTATTGTGAATCATAAGTTTCAAATATAAATCGTCTTCTAAGCGTGGCTTTTATTGCAAATAGTGGAGATACCTATTAGACAAGCTATGGGGATGGTCTCATGTATTTACTCTCGCTCTCATGGATTTTCAGCAGTGGACTGTAATAGTTTGTAATGATGATGATGATGGTTGTAATATTAATAACGAATTGTGTCCGCAATATTTTTGTGTGAACCTCGTACATAACCTTTTGATATGTTACAATGGAACGAGTTACACATAGTTTTAACGGAATTAAATTTGTCTTAGGAAGAATCAGACGAGAAACGAAATTTGTGAAAGAACTTCGTAGCGGATGCAAAACTAAAATAAGAGAACCGTATCATACCCATCAATACTGGAGTGACGATTATTTGCGCGCTGTGAAGATAGCCTTATTAAGTAATTGGGCCAATTGAGATAAATTACGCGATCGGTAGGATGTGGGCAATTAGCGGACGCGGAAGAACTACAATTATAGGGAGAAACAAATATCTAATGACTCCTTTTAATTGGTGAAAGTTCAAATGGAAGTGCGAGGTAATTGCTTTAACATGGCTTTCGCATTGGCAACTTTTGCGCTAAAACATGTAAGATATAAAAGAAAAATTTAATTTAATACCTTACTTATAAAGGTAAAATTACAGCATATAATCATATCACTGTTGGGCACAGGCCTCAATTTATTTCTAAGGTGATGGAGCAATTAGTCGCCCGAGTTGCTCCAGCATGTCGTGGCCAATTTCACATGACCTCGAAATATTTTATTACTCAGACATGTAGGTTTGCTGCACTTAAAATTGTAATTAGCAATTTCAGTGATGCCGGCGGGGTCGAAACCAGGTTGCTCGCATACTGTGAAATTTTTGGCTTAGCCCTCGAGCTAGCACGGCTTGAATAACGTAGGTACTTACGTCATTTTATATTTAATATACTTCAGACAAGATCAAATGATGATGATAATGAAAATGAAGAATGTATTTTTGTTATAATGTAACTTAACGACCCGCCGTAGACTTCTTAAAAACGTGCTTTAAAATTAAAAAAAAATATTCTGTTA